TATGTGTTTACTGCCTTTATATTCATGTATACTATTACCGTTATGTTTTGCTCGAGATTTCTCACCCCTTTGCTTTTGTTGTGGTCTGTGCTTCTTCGGAAGTACAAATATTTCAGGTGTTTAGCTAGTGGTCTGTGGCGAGTCGTGGGGATGCTCTGATACGTAACACCGGGGCTTTTGGGAGTTTTTCATTTACCTGATGATTTGTGTGCCCCTGTGGTATATCTTGTTTTATAGTATGTTTTGATGGATCCCTTGGTGTATAGTTGCACATGTTGTATATTTTGGGCCGTTGGCCATACATGATGTATGTGACGTGATATATATATATATATATATATATATATATATATATATATATATATATATATATATATATATATATATATATATATATATATATATATATATATATATATATGATGAAGATTTCCGCTGTTTACATGCTCATACGTTTATAATCGTGGAACAAAAATGTGTTTGGTTGGTTTTTCTTCTGTGACATTCCCGTTGTGTGTGATGACTCTGATAATTGTTTATTTTAATTGTATTTATTATCATTTTGGGAACGGGGTGTTACAAGACCCATCCATGTTGGCCATCTACCGTCTGTCGTTGCAGACGAAAAAGATGAAAGAACAACGACAGCGTGGCCCCGATCTCCAGGTACCGGCAGAGAATCTCGAATGCCCGGATAAACGCTACCGCGTTAGGATGCAATTGAGAAGGGGCTAACCGAAGCCAATCGAAGATTCCCATTTGAAGATCCGAGAAGGGCAGTCTGAGCCCGGCCTCCCGGAAATAAAATTGTACATGGGGAAACGCATCCTCCCGTAAGATGAGCATATACAGTGGGTGTCCCACGGTCGGTACACCTGCCAGCTGATAGGTTCGTCCGCCGTCCTGTCATCGACGGTCGCGAACGCTCCAAACGGGTTCGCAGCAAAGCACGAGGGGGTGGTCAAGGGCTCCTCGACAACCCACTTAGAAACACGGCGTGCCCGCGCCCGGGTATAAGGAGTGTCCGATTCTTCATCGACGTCCATTGCCCCCGGGACCCAAGTCGTCATTAACACCTGAAAAGCAGAAGGCAACGGTGAATTCGATTATCCGATCAAATTCACCCTTCCACCGCAAGACAAGTGAAAGGGCGACATGGACAACGCCCTCCCCCGTCCTCGAGGATACGACCGACCATCAGTCCGTCCTCGGGACATCCGTGTATAACACTACATTCGTCCCCAGGATACTCGTCTACACTAACGTCCTTCCCCAAGGCATTCAACTAGTTCTAAACTACCGGCCTCGGGGGATTCATATAAACCTAGCATTTATCCCCGGGACACTCAAAAAGCACTCCTGCTCTCCTCGGCCTAATCATCTACAAAACCCTAGAAACCATCGCATACGGCGGCAGAAAGATCCGTCTCTCCCCGGGGAATTCAAAGCACCCCGACGACAATCATTAACAAAACATAAACAAGGATCAAGACACATAAAGCTTACCGGATTTTTAGTAGCGGCGGAATATGCGGCGGTTGCAGTGGCGGAGATGTCGAGCAGGAGCGAAAAAACAAGCGTCTCGGATATGGGAGGCAGAAGCGAAAAATGACAAATGGGCAGGGACCCATGTACTTATACCCTCAGCGCGGAATTCTAAGCGTCCCTAGGCACTCAAGTGCCCTAGGGTAGCTGCCCTATCTGTCCCACTCCTCAACTGACACGTGGCGAAGGCACAGGGTCGCGACTCTCCATCTCCCTCCACGGACGCCGCAGACTCCATCCTCGTGTGAGCCAGGTCAGGAATGCCCGTCACAACGCTTCCCCGCCTGACATCTCAGCGATACATGATCAAGTCCTCGCTCCTCCATCTCGGAGCTTCGACTTAGGGGCTCCTGTTTTGGCCTGGGCCCCGGGCTGACGAAGAGGCCCAACCCAACTATGCCGAGCACAGGCCCAAAGGAGGTTCTCCCTGTCATCGAGCAGCGCATTACTCGTCGAGCAGGCGCAACCCTCAGCGGGGAGCGCATCCTCCCCGACAGGAAGAATAACGTGTCCTCCGTGTTATTCACGCATGCCCTCCGTGGGCAGCACACCTCTCCCCGTCGGGCAGCACAACGTGTCCCTCACACGTTCTCCACGTGCCCCCCCTCTGCGGGGATACGTCACTCACCAATTGCCCACCTCCGAAAGAGCAGGTCAAACCCACTTTCCGGAGTTCACGAAGCAGTTGAACTAGGGCGAAGACCACGTTCTGGTCTTCACTACGCCACGTAAGCCCTAGCAGTCACTTGGGTTGGGCCTAGCCATCCAGCCCAACTCAGATGACCGTTGGCCCAACGTTGGAGTCTCTCTATAAATACCCTCTTTCACTAGAGGGTCAGGTAATTCACTTCTACCTTTTTCCGTACTTGCTATAGCTCTGTCTAAGCTCTTACTTTGGCATCAGAGTGTCTTGCAGGTACATTCCCCATCTTCTTTCCAACACCGGTGAACAGATTTCAGCCCACCGGTGAACAGATTTCAGCCCAGCAGAGTGTGGCCGGACTGTGACTCCCCTTCTGATCAGGTCAGATCAAAAGCATTAACTTATTTTAATATATTTTCATTAGCTTTCTTTTTAGATGATATCTTTGAAGATACTATACCATCTGCAGCCTCATTTTAAGGTGGATATAATGTATGCATTTTTTCATCCTGATAGAAAATGCTTGCATTATTGTGATAAATATTTGATAATTATAGTATATTTTAACATGAATCAGGAAGTACAAGTGGAATAATATATAACAAATGTAACATCTTTTTCTAAACAGATTGTGAAATATGGAAACGATAAGATGATTAAGGAAATTGAAATGTCATGGTCAATCAAAAGCTTCAAATATTGTAATTTAAAATGTCCGGTGTTGTGTAACTAGATGGGGTTTAATGAAATGTGTTGTCACTGTTATTTTTTAGAATATGTTGTAGGGCTGTTGGTTCAGAGTTGGGAGAATCTAAAATACAGTTTTGGTTTGATTTTAGTTAAAATTAGGGGCTGATTTGTTTTTAAGGAATTTATGTATTAGGTGGTTGCTTTGTGTTTGTGTTTTTTTGTTCTTATACTGGTGTAACTTCCCACAACATATCTTATGATCGTTGGAGTTTCTTTAATTTATTTTTGTGTTAAATTAAAAAAAATATATCTCAACTACTTGAGCAAATAATCACAACCTCTTATATAAAATTGATTACAAATTAATTATATTGATATAAGAAAGAGAATATTGCAAATTAATTTTAATGATAGAAGAAATAGAATGTTGCAGAAAATGGTTTAATCATCAATAAAGAAGAAAGAGATCAATTCTCAATTTATAGAAGAAAGAGAATGTTATAAAATAAAAAACAATGATATTTAAAATATGTTTATGTTCTAATATTCCTCAACTAATAAAATTGCTAAAAAAACTAACTTTAAGATTTAAATATTAAAAAAAGCTGTTTTCTAATAATTTAGGAATAAATGAATGATTAAAAAAAATATTCATTACATATTTAAATATATATAAAGATAATTAAACGTTTTTAAAAATATGTGATTGTTGATAAATATATATTTTTTATTTTAAAATAATTAAAATAGTTTTAAAGTTGTATCATTGATTTTTGAGTTTGATTATTTTTTAAAAATGACTTTAACTAAACTTTAAAAATTTTAAAAAATGTATCGTTTATAATATTGAGGTGGCAATTGGATCCATTAAGGCAAAATCCATCACATCCGTCAATCAAAAAATTCATTCAATCCCACCGCATAAAAAATAAGTTAATGAATTTGATTAAATATATCCATTTATAACATAGATGAATTCGAACAATCCAACATATTTTAAGGATATAATGAATTATTTTTATTTTCGTTAGATTTATTTTTATAAAAATAATTAAAAATAAATTTTTTAAAAGAAAAGAATTAATTTTTTTCCAATAAAAAACCGAAAATTTTCCAAAAAAATAATATTTTTTAAAAAAAAAATTCTTTTTTTTTTTTGAAAAAAATCGATTTTTTTCCAAAATAAACAACTAATTTGTATAAAAACAATTTTTTTCGAAACAAAAAACCAAATTTTTTTTTATAAAAAAATTGATATTTTCTAAAAATTAAAATATCAATTTTTTTTGAAAATACAAAAAATTCAATTTTTTTAAATACAAAAATAATTTTTTGAAAATAAAATAAAATTGATTTTTAAAAATAAAAAAATATATTTATTATTTAGAAATAAAAAAAAGTTGGATAGATAGATATCCATCTATTATAAATATGTTAATGGATGGATTGAATGAATTTTATTTTTAATGGATGAATTAGACTGGATAATTTAAAAAAAAAAAACTGAATTGTTAATGGAATAATGAATTATTTTAATCTATTTATTAACAATTTATATCCATCTATTTTGACACCCTCTCATCTAAATTTTACCTAGCCATTTCTATTTTTAATGACTTCAACCATATTTAAGTAATTGATACGCAAATCGTGAGCATTGTTTTACATATATTTTTTTTTTAACATTGAAAATTGTTGAGTAAATTATGGAAAGTTGTAACGGTTACTCTAGATTGATAAATTATAACGGTTAGTCAAAATAACATCCAATAAATTTCTTTTCTTAAAGCATGTATCATGACACCCTAATATAATATGTCATCAAAATTAATTTCATATATATTTATATGATAAAATAAAATCTAGTATATGTTCCGTTAAAACACTTTAATTGATAGTTGGCTAAAATATCAGATATTAAAACGTGATTTTGAATATGTAATATCTTATTTATTTATTTTGATAAATTTCAATCATTAAATTTTTTATTAAAAAAAATGTTAATTTTTTTTCCTTTTATTTTATTGAAATATTAAAATTCTTTTAACTTTTTTAACATTGCTAAAAACTCGCTCCGCAGTATCAGTTTTTAACAGAGAGAACGAAAGGTGGTTTACTCATTATGGACTACACTCTCATTCATCACGCCACCAACAACCACCGCATCGCCGGTAAACTTTCCTCTCTTCTCCGGCGACATTTTCTTTTTCTTTTCTGTCTAATGCTAGCTTCATCCATTACTCTCACTTTTCTGCATTCACTGATTTTCACAACAACAAAAAAAGCGTGGGACCCCTAAAAGTGAAATGCAAATTTCAGAACTTAAAAGAGCTTTGTTTATAGCAACATTGTCCATTTTTTTTCTTTATTTTATGGAACTGAAGTGTGATTAAGCAAATACACAGTTTTGTTTTTCAATTTTCAAGTAAAAGTTTGATTTTTGAGATTTTGATGGCCGACAGTACTTGTGTTTTGTTGCCTAGGTTATTCGTGACATGTATTTGATTTTGTTCCTTTTTGTTTATGATTATTTCTGTGGTTTTGTATTTGGGGTTGGAAAGGGGAAACAAAGTATTATTTTAATATTTGTTGGTGTTGTTGTTTATTGAAAAAATGGGACCCATGAAGCATTTCATAGTAGGATATCATAGTTGCTTTTTTATATATTGTGCCCCCACTGGACCCTTGACAATGATTCTTTATGAATTTTTATGTGATGCATGAGAAGTAGCATCTCTTTGGCATGATATTATGGTAGATTTCACCTCTTGCTCATTTTGTTATATGATGCATTCATTTTCTTTGTACTTCTGATATCCTGGTAAGATGTGTTCTTATGCTCTAGATTTTGTAGCATTTATACTTCATCTAGTTTAAATCTTTTCAGGTTATTGATCTTAGATGTGATTATTGATGTTAAGCTCATTGATTGCAGATCCAAGTGGGATGAGAGATGTAGTGAACTTGGAACATCATATTCACTATATGGAAATTGAGGCTTACAGTTCCATGTTGAAGGCTTTTATTGCTCAGTCGGATCTTCTTACTTGGGTAAATATTTGTTCTAAACGCGTTATCTGTGGTTGAGTTTCTCTCATTGAATATGCTCTTGCAAATCCTCTTTCTTTTTATGTATATATGATTGTGATTTGTTTGTGGCGGTAGGGAAAAGAGGAGCTCTTGACCGAACTACGAAAGGAACTGAATATTGCAGATTCTGAACATGGGCAAATTCTGTCTAAAATAAATTCCGATGAGTCAATTAGATGGATAAGGTGTTTGCACAGTTGTGTTGATTATTATGATATGGCATTGTAAATGCAGAAGCTTCAGTACCTTTTTTTTTTAAACATTTTATGTTGCAGGGAGCAAAGGAAAAGGGCATCTCATTCGCATGCTCAGGGTTATATTAAAGCTAATACTTCTGGGTGTCCTTCCGCCTCAATTGGAAATTCAGTTATAAGATTGAAAACACCATCCTCGGCTACATTTTATGCTCACAACAACATGTCGCACAGTCAAGCTTCTCTTAATTCTATTCATGTTTCTGCTCCAATGTCTGTAAGTAAAACCAGCCCTGATACAACTGTGAAAATTGTTTATGTTGCTCTGTGTTTAGAGCCTGTTTGGTTTATGGTTTAGGTTCTAGATGTGTTATGGAGTCCGGAGCTCCCTCTGAAGTCAACTATTTTATTCACTCTATGGTCCTTAATAGAATTACCTATAGATATATTATAGGTCCGTAGGAGGCATAAGGCTTGTTTCACTGATATACGTCTTATGTTATGTGTCGAGTGTGGTGATTGCTCAGAACCAGTGTCGCTTCTGTTCATACTTCCTGCTGATGTTTCTTCATGGAACTTCAAAATGCATTTTAAAGAGGCAACACTATGATTAGGTTATTAGCTATCACATGATTGTTTTACCAAATACATGTGAACACAGACTGTTTAAAAGGAAACACATGCGCTGTTTATCTATCATTATTTTAATTACTGAATAATAATAGTTGAATCTGGCTTATTATTTCCATTTTGTGACTGCAGCCAAAATTTAATGACAGTTTGTTGATTGTGGAATAGGTCTATGGGAATGCTGAGCAATCCAAGGAAATGTTCAATTATGACGTTCAGCTGCCACCTATTGCAAGAGGGAGTGCGCCGGAAGGAAATTATCAGTTTAAGCAGTACTGTCAACCATCCGAGTTTCTCACTTTAAACAACAGGGATAACTTAATTGAAATCCGTGCAACAGATAGGGTTATCCATGATGTAAGAAAATTCTGATTTCGTATCTATTTTTGATTGGATTTATGCTAGTTACATTTTCCCTGTATTTCAGGCGTTCTTTAGTTCTCATTCTGATGTGTTAATTTTTTACATTTGGCAGGTTGAAAAGATGCTTTTTGGTAGAGAGAAGCCTAGTCCAGTTGATATTGAGAATGCGAAAAAAGCTCTTGATGTAATTTCTGCCTTTTGAAATGCATTGAAATCATCTTACATATCTGTCTTTAGAAAATTCTGACAAAATTTATTATATGGATGTATACTTTGGTTCAGGAGCAAGAAAGAGCTTTACTTGAAGCACTCGGTAAACTGACAGACGTGTTAGACGGGGGTAATGATCTTTTCCTGATATTCTTACTTAGCTTCCTCTATAACTTGTTTTTACGAATGTATGTGTGAACATTTGATTTTCCAGATGACAGGATACTGCAAAACCTCCAATCGAGGGCAAGAAATGACGGTCCATGGTAATTTCAGTGGGATGGGACTAACTGGTAGTAGGTTGAATGGACTTTGGGAATACATTTTGAGCCTTGAAGTTAGAGTGACTATATATTGCACAGATATGGTGCTTACTTTAGCTACTGAATCCAATTATGGAGGTATAACTTAATTAGAAAAAATATATGATGCTTAGGTGACTGATGCCAGCTGAACACTTTGATATGACTTGTTTCAATACTGAGTTATACTCCTACTAACCATTTTGTTAAATGTAAAGTGTTTTCAGTTATTCAGGAAAAGAGCTCAAAAGTTCTTGTTAGTTGCATTGTATATTGATTTTCTGGTATGAGTCACTAAAAGCAGTTTTTTTGTACATATATGTGAAAGGAGTTTCATCTGTTATTGGTGATATGAGTTCCTAAGGCTAACCTTTGGGACAATAACTATAATATGTATTTATTTAAGGTTCTCGTTCCAATTGATGGGTTTGCCTATGATATAAAGTTATATATTAAGAGATAATTGAAAAATAAGTCTGAATTGAACCGGAAAACTTGACCAATGGTAAACTGAACTGCAATTGGTTTGGGTTGGTTGACGAGTCATCCATGAGGTTCAGTTCATTTATTATAAAAATAATAGTCTTATTATAAGATTTGGTTTAGTTTTTTATTTTTATTTTGTTTGTAATGATCCAAGTTATTAGTTAATAATGGCATTGTGGTTAGAAAAGTACATTTAGATTTTAGTGAATGTAGTTTTGGTTCGGTTTAGAACTATAGAACCGGTGATTGAACCATGGACAACTCAAAAACGTTGAGTATTTGATATTTGAGATTTGATTAAATCATGAAGAGGTTCTTCATTATACCATATGTTTCTCCCAAATCTTGTGAATTTATGAAATTATCTCTTTTGCCTCGTCCGAATAATATGATTTGGAAGCAACCTAATCAATCAATACTACATTGGTTATTTGAAATGACTTTTTTGAGAAATAAATTTATGTCTTCGATGACTCATCCGAACAACAAGTTACATAGTCAGGATATTACAATCTGGAGCATCACATTCATTGCATAAATAATTTCTTAAACCTCTTCTCACTCAAAACCCAAAATATATTTCTTTAAACCCTTTAAAAATCTTCCTTTCTCATTAAATAATTGTGTTCGATAACACAATTCATCTGTATTTCTACATCATAATTGTCCTAAATTACAACTAATTTACATTGTATCATTTATCAAGTTGTTCGAATAGTATCATCAAAAACCTTATAAAATGCCTTCGACTTGTAACTTTTGGGTGTTTAGAACGATTACCTCAATTTTCTTTGTTTTCAATGGTTGTAGATGTAGTGCACCCTGATATTATCCTCATGTTAAAGCATCAGAGGATAATGTGTCAGAAAATCCCCAACCCAATGTTGTACACATTGATATTGGAAAATAATTTATCACATGAAATAAGTTTACATTACGCGATCATAACCCAATGTCGTATATTAAGGAAGTCCCGCAAATATCCTATACTGGGATGCATTTTGGAGGCTTCGCCTCGACCCATATGACCTAAAACTCTTCAAGGAATCGCTAGTTGGATTCTCTGAGGAATAGTTTCAAGTGAAAGGCTAAAAATGCTAAAGACCACCTTTGGAGTAGATGAGCATGCCTAAAATATTAAGGTCAGCTATTTGATTGTTAACGCCCCCTCTTCTTATACTATGATTATAGGATGTCTTACTTTTAATCTGTTGGGCGTTGTCTTGTGCATTTTGTACTTGTGCGTTAAGTACCCCCTTTTTAATGGGCGGATGAAGTCATCCAAGTGTTGCACCCCAAAATTTGCTCAACCTTCTCATTACCTGGTTTTATGTTTCATTGCATAGTGTCGCTACTGCGAAAATCGGCGTCGGCAATACAGAAGAGTCGCCACCGCGCGTTATTTATCCCAAAGGAGGGAAAGGAAACGCTCGAAGTAAACCTAACGCAAAGACGGGAAAAGGTATGGTCGTCGCAACCAAAACCTGGATTCGGGAGTCGGTTACGCAAGGGGAAGGTATTAGCACCCCTCACGTCCATCGTACTCGATGGGATCCACGCTTGTTTGTTTGTACGGATTACACTTCTATCTAAACTAAAGGATGAGGTCTGAAAAGAAAAGAAAAAGATGACTCGACAAAGCATCTCACTTTATGCCTACGTATTCCTGTCTGGAACGAGAAATCAGAGTCAACGTAGTTCGCCTAACTACGGGGGAAGATGGGTGAAGGTTGCTCGCTAGGACACTGCATCCTATGCCTACGTACTTCCACACTGCATGGAAGATCAGAGCAAACGTAGTTCGGGCTACGCACGACACAAGCTGTTCAAGTGTCTTTTATGAAAAATCTCACCTTAAACAAGGGTTTTCTTATTATCAGTCCCTGAAGGACAAAAAAGTTTGTGTTTGTTCAAATCTTTTGACGGAAGAAATGAATTGATCTCTGTTATAACCTTTATTAATGTTTTTCTGTTGTTTGAAGAAAGAAGAGATGACACTCTACAAAAACCTAGGGTTGAAAAGGGAATAAAATCTACCCTAATGTTATCATACATGGGTTAGCTCCTAATGCCTGTCATGTTACTCTCTTGCACGGAGAGAAACAGAGCTCCTAAGGGAATCAACGGAAACAGAAACAAAATACAGTAAAGCGGTAAAATAATGAATGAATACAGCAAACAAGCTAGGCAAGGGAGCCAAACTCTACCTCGAACCTGAATACAATAGGTAAAAGTGAAGCACATTTCACTTTAAACCTAGGGGAATTATCACACAATACAGAAAAGCCCCAAGCTCTGACAGCAAACTCCCAAGTTGATGCACAACACATCCTCTAAATGAACCTCCAAGCTCTATCTTCATCAGACCCCCAAGCTCTAGCTAGCTTCTTGCTTTGACAATCTTCATCTTCAATGATCTCCATCTTCAAGGGTAAACACTCCAGGATAACAGAATAGGATCAAGAGATAGTGGCATGCTAATCAGCTCATGGACAACCAAAGGAAGTGCACAAGGGATTAGCATAATGGGACAGGTTCCCTCAAAGTTCTACCTCTAAGACCAATCACTTATCCCTCCAAAGGAGGGAGGTGGGTTCTTAGAGGGACTTTTAGTCACTGGGAAAGAATGGAAGCAAAGGAGGCATTCCATATTTCATGAATCAAGTTTCTAATCTAGAGCTCTACCTAGCTCCTAAACCCTAAAGTCTTCAATAGCTACAGGCAAGCTTCAATCATCCTCAATCTCTGGATCTTTGATCTTCAACCTTCAATCTTCATCATGCTCCTCAAAACAAGCCAAGCCCCCAAAACAAACTCAAAATGAAACCCCAAAAACAGACAACCATCACAAAAGCAATCAATGCAATCAGTCAATTTCAGAAAATACCCTAAAAATACTAAAGACAAGTGGGAAAATTCTAACATTAATTTACAAGGGTCTATTATACTTACCCATAATACCCCTATAGTCCCATGCCCAAAAATCAAATCAAAACTCCTAAAAGAAATGATTACTCACCTATGTCAAATATAAAACCCTAATTTTAACATACCAGTCTCACCTAATCAAACTACCTCACAATTAACCCTAAAAATTATGAATAAAATCTTCTACACTAGTTGAGGTCCTAAGTGAAATACCCTAAAAAGAATGGGTCCTAAATCTAAAGGGAACTATTAGAATTAAAATCAACAAAATCATGTATTAACCTAAACTCATTAAAAAGCTATTTAAAAGAAAAATGCACAAAACATACTAAAACAAAATAAAATGGACTTTTAATATTTTCTAATTTTTCTTAACAGCATTATAAACCTCGCACAAAAAGAAGAAATCAAAAACATTAATTTTTCATTTAGTTATGATTTTTACAAAATCAAAAGAAAATTAAAGAATTAAAATAAAAGAAATTAAAATGAAAAGGGAGGGGGGTGTATTCAGTAGATGCGCTAAGGGTAATATAAAGTTGGGCTCAGACTGGATGGTGTGGAAAGCAACATGCGCAGGGCCCAATGGATTCAGAAATTCAAATAAAAAAAATAAAAGAAAAAGAAAATGATGCGGTGTGGATAGCAATGACATTCAGTGCATTTTGATGTTGGGCTCATTGAGGGTGTGGATAGTTACTTCTTGACTTAGGCCCAGGATGCGTTAAATGAAACGCATCGTTTCATCCTTTCAGCCACTTCCCTCCAAATCTCCAATTAAATCTGAGCCTTAGGATCGTTCTTTGAGTCAATGGTCTTATGCATGATCCAACGATACTCCTTCATCGTCTACCTTGGACAAACCCTAAGCCAGAAAAAATACTCCCCATGCACGAACCTTCCCCCTCTCTGTTCTCCCTCATACCTCCATAAAACTCAAAACTTCAAAGACCAAAAACGTGCTATATTCCTCCCTCTACAAAACCCTACTTCTAGTTTTTTCTAATTCTCAACCTAAAGCCAAACCCGATAGCTGTAAATCTTGGGCACACTTGAATTACACTGAGATGCACTCCAAAGATTCCTGCTAACTCTTGTACTAAACTACTCTACACATTATGCTGGGTGTTTTAAGCTATCTAGCAAGGATTATCATGCCCTAATCTCAATGTTCTAAGTCATCAAAGTTTCAATGCCCTAAAACAAAACTTCACTAATGGCTCTCTAAGCTCGTGGATATCATCACCTACTCAACCCTAGCAAATCTAACCTAAAGAAACATGCTAACAGGCCATAATTAAAGCTGAAGGAATCAAGATGCATACCTTCTATGTTGATGAAAACAGTGGAGGATTCTTGCACTTCAAGCTTGGCAAATCTTCAAGAATGGTCCTTAGAAGGTATTGTTGCTTCCGTATGCAAAGAAATCGTGTGAAACAGCTTGTAGTGAGGGCTGTAGATCTGGTGTAGAATCTTGCACTTTCAATGCTAGCTCCTCAAAACTCCATTGTTGGACCTCTGAATTTGCTTGTAATCACTCACTATGCACTATGT